AGAGCTGCTGCGGCTTGACGTGCGGGGTTGGTTTTTGATTCGCAAGAGGACACCTTTCCTTTTGAGAGTGTTTGGTTGTGACCTAAAGTGTGCCAACTGAGTCTTGATCGCAGTCTGCTTGAGTATGTTTGAGAAGTTACAGGCTTGATCGGTCTTTCCGTCTTGGAGCTACTCGTTCTAGTTTGAGGTTGGGGGGTATGGCAATCAGTTTGCATCTTTTGGCAGTGCAAAACTGTTGAATTCAGCATAACCCAGCCAGACCACCCTGAAAAAGACCCCCCCCAATCTGGCAAACCTCAACCCAAACCTCACTCAAACAGAAGGTCGCTCAAGTGGGTGGTGGGCATATCCGTTCTTTTTGTTGGATTTGATCCGCCGGAGTAGCTCTCGTCCGGATGAAAGCTCCCAGGCGATCCGAAGCATGGCCCGGAGGCGATGTGGAGAGCGCAGAGAACTTCCGTTTCCAGCTTTGTGTTTGTTTGTTTGTTTGTTTGTTTGTTTGTTTGTTTGTTTGTTTGTTTGTTTGTTTGTTTGTCTATTTGTTTGTTTGTTTGTTTGTCTGTTTGTTTGTTTTTTTGTTTTTTTTTTGGTTGTCTGTCTGTCTGTCTGTCTGTCTGTCTGTCTGTCTTTCTGTCTGTCTGTCCGTCCGTCCGTCTGTCTGTCTGTCTGTCTGTTTGTCAGTCTGTCTGATTGTTTGTGTGTGTTTATTGGGAACGTCATGGTTGTCCTTTTTCTATCTTCCTGTGACTTGATGAGTTGCTATTGTCCTTTGCACACACACATTCTGGGCAAAGTGTGTGCGGTCTTGCTTGAGTTTGAATGAGGGGACACAGCAGACTTCAGGAATCAAACTTGACTAGACCTGCCTCAAATACACAAAGGGCAGCACAAGTTGGCCAAACGCCAGCGGCTTTCCTTTACAAGTTTGCTATCAGAATGATACCTGGGTTGCTAGCAACGGACGTCTGATCGAAGGGAAACCGCGGCTGCTGGGACGCGGACTTCACCTTCGAGCGGTGCTGCATTGATCCGCAGCAGGAGATGCCGGAGGCGCTCACGGACGGCCCAGCTGCTTGGCCAGCTCATACTGGAGGTAGATTTCACCAAGGGTTGAACAAGGTCCGGTGGGATGGTAGAGCCCAAAAGTTGAGACATGCGGGAAATCTTTACCATCGGTATTGTATTTCTGACATCATGCAGGCCTTGTTTCAATTGAGATAGAATCTGCTTATCAACACTGACAAACGCGAATCTCAGCATCCGATTCTGCGACAAAAAAGGGCTGGCAGGCAGCGCTCATTGCGATCTTGCTGGGCGCAAGAATCAAGAAGGGGGTAGAGTTCAAGTCAATTGGCGGTTCGTCGCAGAGGATTGCTCAAGCAACGTGAGTCCAAGTCAATAGCCCGGCTGTGAGATGGCAAAGGAGGACTTGAAAGCGTTGGAGGATTGGATCCAGCGCCTCAGCTTGTCTCTGAACCTGGGGACACGAAACGTAGCGAGGTCTCCGCAGTTTCTGAAGCCCGGTTTATCGCTAGGATGAGACCCCCCAAAGCCATCTCAATGGCTTGTGACGCCATGTCTGTTTCATCAAATCTGCATGTGGCAGGGAAATGTTGATAAGCATCAATCCTGCTACAGCAGGGAAGAGAGCGACCTTGAAGAGCCAGCCAGCCAGCCAGCCAGCCAGCCAGCCAGCCAGCCCAGCCAGCCAGCCAGCCAGCCAGCCAGCCAGCCAGCCAGCCAGCCAGCCAGCCAGCCAGCCAGCCAGCCAGCCAGCCAGCCAGCCAGCCAGCCAGCCAGCCAGCCAGCCAGCCAGCCAGCCAGCCAGCCAGCCAGCCAGCCAGCCAGCCAGCCAGCCAGCCAGCCAGCCAGCCACGTGCACACAATTATGCAAGCAAGCAAGCAAGCAAGCAGGCAGGCAGGCAGGCAATCCAGGTGTGCAGACAGGGGAGGGCGGGCAGGGCAGGCAGGGCAGGCAGGGCAGGCAGGGCAGGCAGGGCAGGCAGGCAGGCAGGCGCTGACGCGCGCACACACCCACGCACGCACACACTGGGAATGCCATGTTGGGAGTTAAACGCCAAACGTTCAAACGCGTAAACATGAGCACTGCTGAGCCGCATAAAGTCAGTGGCTCGTAAGGGCGATTGTTAGGGGTGAGCCCTCCAGCTGGCAGGTGCGCGTCACTAAAAGTCACAAAGACAGAATCATTTTTTTGTATTCCTTTGGCCGGCCGGGCCCGTGGCCTGGCCCGATCCGGCTTCCAGCTTCGGGCAGGGCCCGCGGGCTTTTCCACAGCCCGATCCCGCCTTCCGGCTTCCGGCTTCCGGCTTCCGGCTCCGCAGCCCAAGCCTCCGGCTTCCGGCCTCCAGCTTTCGGCTTCCGGCCCCTGTTTTGTGTTTGGGTCGGTTTAAACTGTTTTAGGGTTGGTTTAGGGTAACATTAGGGCCAACTTAACGTTGAAAATTGGTTTAGGAGTTAGTTTAGGTTGGTCTAGGCTGGTTTACGGCCAGGCTTGGTGTAGGGTGGCTTCGGTCTGGTTTGGGGTTGGTTTAGGGTGTCAGTTTAGGGATGATTTAGAGTCGGTGCACGGTTCGGCTAGGGTTGATTGCTTTAAAGTTGGCGGGTTTGGTTTGGGGTCGGTTTAGGCTTGATGTATTCGTTTAAGGGGTTGTGCTTTATGTTGACGGGTTTGGTTTGGGGTTGGCTTAGAGTTCGTTTGGGCTGCCTTGAAGTGGTTTTGGGTTAGTTTGGGTTGGTGTAGGAGTGGTTTAAGTTAGTTTAGATGTGATTTGGGTCGGGCCCGTTGTGGGTTGACTTAGGGTTGGTTTCGGGTTGGCTTATGGTGTTTTGGGTTGGTTTAGGGTCGGTTTCGATTGGTTTATTACAAGTGTTCTAGGTTTTGTTAAGGGTGGTTCAGGGTTGTTAGCTTGGTGTGTGTTTGGATTGGTTTAGGGTTGGTATAGGGTTGGTTTGCGGGGTGGGTAGGGTGTTTTATAGTTTAGGGTGTTTTAGGTTTGGTTTCGGGTTAATTTCCCTTAAGTTAGACGTGCTTCTGGTGTTTTATCGGGTGGTTTAGACTTGCTGTAGGGTGTTCCAGGCTCGGTTTAGGTTTAGTTCGTTTAAGGGGTTCAAGTTGGTTTAGATTTGATTTGGTTTGGTCAGGAAATTGGAATTCGTAACAAAACAAGACGCAAACAACATGGACATCGTATTAAAACCGTATTGAAATCGTGTTAAACTCGTATTACAATTGTTTTTTTGCGTTTTAATACGATTTCAATACGATTTGAATACGGTTTTTAATACGATTTTTTGCACCCCCTTCTTTCAAGTGCATGTCCAAGGTGTAGAACAACGCAACACAACCGCAAATGTTGCAGGAGTCGTATTGAACTCATAAGTTCGAGAATAGTAAAAAAACGTAATGAAAACAGAAAATAAATCTTCAAGAAAAAGCCAGTTAGGCTGACAGAGTAGGTCACAAGCTTAGGGTTTGAGTAGCGTGCCTTGAAGTGGTTTTGGGTTAGTTTGGGTTGGTGTAGGGGTGGTTTAAGTTAGTTTAGATGTGATTTGGGTCGGGTCCGTTGCGGGTTGGCTTAGGGTTGGTTTCGGGTTGGGTTGGTTTAGGGTCGGTTTCGATTGGTTTAGGGTTGGTTTACAGTGTTTTAGGTTTTGTTTAGCTGCTTGTTTCGGGCTGGTTCAGGGTTGTTTCTGATTGGTTTAGTGGCTTTGGGAATAGGTAAGGGTTGCTTTTGGGGTTGGTTTAGGGTCGTCTTAGGGTTGTTTTGGGTTTGTTTCGGGTTTGTTTCGGGCATGTTCTTGGTTTGTGTTTGGGTGGTTCAGAATTGGTGAAGGGTGTTTCAGGGTTGGTTTGGGGTAAGTTTGGGGTCGGTTTGGGGTTGATTCAGGGTCGGTGTGCGGTTCTTTTAGGCTTAAAAGCTGGTGGGTGTGGTTTGGGGTTCATCTAGTGGAGAGTTTGAGGATTGGTTTACGATTGGTTAGGTTTTGTTTGGTAGGGTTGTCTTGGGCTTGGTTTAGGGTTGGCTTGTGGTGTTTTGGGCTTGCTTTGGCATCTTCTTGGTTTGGGGCGCAAACCTCTGTGCGTCAGGCAAATGCGTCCACTGATGTCCGCTGTGAACCGATGCGCTTCGCGCAGTCCTTTTTCCCCAAACGTTCTAAACTCATGTAGAGTGACTCGCCTGTTGCCAAGCCCTAGCCTGGATGCCTGGCGCAGCTCTCTTGGTGGACGGGTTCATTTGTCTCCCTTTTTGTCTCCCTTCATTTGTCTCCCGTTGTCTCGCCCTGGATGCCTGGCACGGCTTTTTGGGTGGTCGACAAGTTCCTTTGTCTCCCTTTGTCTTCTTCTTGTTGTCTCCCAGCCTGGATGCCTGGCACGGCTCTGTGGGTGGACCAGGGATTCATTTGTCTCCCTTTGTCTCCCTTTGTCTCCCTTTATTTGTCTCCGGTTGTCTTTTAGCCTGGATGCCTGGCGCGGCTCCCTGGCTGGACGGCATGCGCTTGATCAAGCCACAGGCAGCATGCAGCGGATGCACGCATGAGTGCTTCAAGTGAATGGTTGTGTGTCCTTGGTGTGTTCCAGCTGACCACATCGGCGCGTTCCAATGTGAACATGCGCTTTTTGCATGCGACCACAGAGTGCGTTCCACGTGAGCACATGTTTGTGCTCCGGGTGAATGCGTGCGACTGTTCTGATAAAACACATATGCGATCCGGTCAAAATTATTAGTAAGGGAGTTCAGTCTACAGAGGCTTGGGCCACGCGGTCTTATTAGGGGCCATAGCAGCGATGTCCCAATTCAAAAGAGCACTCCACAAAAACCTTACTCAGATCAGCAGCGCCGCCCGCGACAAACGTAGCTGAAACTTCTTGGTCCGGCAACCGCCGCAAACGCATTCACTGATGTCCGCTGAGAACCGACGCGCTTGGGACAGTCTTGTTTCGTGTCAACAAGAATCGGTTTGTCTCTATGTGCGCTGCACCGCGCTGTTTGTTCTTGAGCCACGAATGTGCCCGCAAATTACGGGTTCACACTCCCCCTGGATGTCCTACATCCACCTTGCGGTTGGCACTATTGGCCCCGCTACTCTGGGCTGCGGACGCCCAAAAGGCTATTATGCCATCACTTCTTGTCCGCGCCCTTCTCCTGCTCCAAACTGGATGCTGCGCCACTCAAAACTATTGGTCCAGCTGTCGCTGCCCGATCTCGGCACCAACCTCGCTGACGCCCCTCCGCCGCCCCATGATCGTGCCGTAGATCACCTTCATCTCCTTGCCGACCAGCTCCCCCAGGCCTAGGGTTCCATCCTCCGCGCTCCCTGAAGTCCATGCAGAGGAACTCCCCGATTCCTCGCCTCCAAAGAAGGCCCATCTGTCCTCCGGGAGCTGCTCCATCCTCCGATAGTACTCCACGCGCTCCGTGCCCAAGACTGACCTCGGCGCCCTCACCGGTTGCTTGCCCCCGGCACCATCACGCACATGGCACACTACCACCAAGTCTTGCTCCTGGGACTTTGCCCCGAATCTACATGACCTATTCGGTCGGGGTGAGGTGCACCCGTCCCGGGCCAAATCCCATCGTCTGTCCCGTCATTGTCCCTGGTCTCTGGAGTGCCGGTAGTCCTCCCCCCCAGGAAACCCTGTCCGGACGCTTCAAATTCAGTCCCCCTGCGGTGCCGCTTGCCGCCGTCTCTTTCGGTGGGCCCTGAGCCTCTTTTTGCGGTCCTTTCGTTTCTTGACTGGGTTCTTCAACAGGTCCTTTTACTTTCTTCACCTTTGTCCCACAGGCCTTCTTGGTGATCTCCCAAACCACCACCGCCAGAACCGCCACCACCGTGAGGATCAACTCCACCGGGATCGACTCCTCATCGATGTTCACCACACCCCCTGCCATTGCCCCTGCCGCCAGGCTGAGCATGCCGATCACCGCCTTCAGCTTGTCAACCACCAACCATCCTGCCGCTCCGAACATGCTGTTGGACTTGCTCCGCAGCACCTTCTTCACCTTCCTCTCTTCCAGAGTATCTAGGCCCATTCCTCTCCTGCATTTTTCAAACTGGGTCCTGGTCAACGCCTTCGTGAGGCCATCCGCCGCCAAAAGAGTTCCCGGAAGGTGCCTCAAGCGCCAGTCCTCTTCCTCAATGAGCTCCGTCAGCTTCCCTGCCCGGCACTTCAGATGCCTTGACCTCCACGCGCACGCTGGCGTCGTAATGATGCTGATGGCCGCCGCATTGTCTCCCAAGATCATCTTCCGAACCTTCTTCACCTCCAACATCTCCACCAACGATGACGCCGCCTCTCCGGTAGCCGTGGCCTGCACATAGCCCGTGAGCTCCGCCTCTGCCGTGGACATCGTGGTGTACGCCTGCCTTGTGGACTCCCACGCAATGCTGCCTCCTCCATACATCACCATTGCTCCCTGAATGGACCGTCCTCC